AGGGACTCTATTCTTTTCGTGGCGGACAAGGACAGCTGTCTAGTCTTTCGGATGGGACGAAAAACCGAGGTCCCGTGTATACATTGGAGTGGACGTAAAAGATCCCTTTGACAGATGGAATTCGATATAAGAGTAGGCCGTAGTGCCGCTGTCCGGGCAAAATTTCCCTCATCGCACAGTGTATGGCGTCTGCCCGTCTTCATTAGCCCAGTTCCAAGCAGAACAGTAGGACGTTAAAACCCCATTTCATTTCTTTTCATTTTTTGAAACTGGTTGGGAAGCCCCCCGGTCCCTACCCCATGCCCCCGGCTCCTTCATCTATGGCTACGAGCATGATTTGCTACTATATTATCTTAGCCCACTGCCACCGCTGCTTAATATTGAGCGACTTGTTTATTCGACTGAATTATTCGACTGGATTATTCGACTGAACTATTCGACTGAAGTATTCGACTGAACTTTTCGACTGAATTATTCGACTGGTTTATTCGACTGGATTATTCGACTGAACTAACTGACTGATTTTATCGACTGGACGAGGCCACATGAAAATGTCAAATACCTCATCCCCCCCGCCCCACCCCATCCTCTTTCTTCGTTCATATCATATATAGGGACTCTATTCTTTTCGAGGCGGACAAGGACAGCTGTCTAGTCGTTCGGATGGGACGAAAAACCGAGGTCCCGTGTCCACATTCGCGTGGACGTAAAAGATCCCTTTGACAGATGGAATTCGATATAAGAGTATGCCGTAGTGCCGCTGTCCGGGCAAAATTTCCCTCATAGCACAGTGTATGGCGTATGCCCGTCTTCATTAGCCCAGTTCCAAGCAGAACAGTAGGACGTTAAAACTCCATTTCATTTCTTTTCATTTCTTGAAACTAGTTGGGAAGCCCCCCGGTCTCTACCCCATGCCCCGGCTCCTTCAGCTATGTCTAAGAGCATGATTTGCTACCATATCATCTTAGCCCACTGCCACCGCTGCTTAATATTGAGCGACTTGTTTATTCGACTGAATTATTCGACTGAACTATTCGACTGAAGTATTCGACTGAACTATTCGACTGGTTTATTCGACTGAACTTTTCGACTGAATTATTCGACTGGTTTATTCGACTGGATTATTCGACTGAACTAACTGACTGATTTTATCGACTGGACGAGGCCACATGAAAATGTCAAATACCTCATCCCCCCCACCCCCGCCCCACCCCATCCCCTTTCTTAGTTCATATCATATATAGGGACTCTATTCTTTTCGAGGCGGACAAGGACAGCTGTCTAGTCGTTCGGATGGGACGAAAAACCGAGGTCCCGTGTGCACATTGGCGTGGACGTAAAAGATCCCTTGACAGATGGAATTCGATATAAGAGTACGCCGTAGTGCCGCTGTCCGGGCAAAATTTCCCTCATCGCACAGTGTATGGCGTATGCCCGTCTTCATTAGCCCAGTTCCAAGCAGAACAGTAGGACGTTAAAACCCCATTTCATTTCTTTTCATTTCTTGAAACTAATTGGGAAGCCCCCCGGTCTCTACCCCATGCCCCGGCTCCTTCAGCTATGTCTAAGAGCATGATTTGCTACCATATCATCTTAGCCCACTGCCACCGCTGCTTAATATTGAGCGACTTGTTTATTCGACTGAATTATTCGACTGGATTATTCGACTGAACTATTCGACTGAAGTATTCGACTGAACTATTCGACTGGTTTATTCGACTGAACTTTTCGACTGAATTATTCGACTGGTTTATTCGACTGGATTATTCGACTGAACTAACTGACTGATTTTATCGACTGGACGAGGCCACATGAAAATGTCAAATACCTCATCCCCCCCCGCCCCAGCCCATCCCCTTTCTTCGTTCATATCATATATAGGGACTCTATTCTTTTCGAGGCGGACAAGGACAGCTGTCTAGTCGTTCGGATGGGACGAAAAACCGAGGTCCCGTGTATACATTGGAGTGGACGTAAAAGATCCCTTTGACAGATGGAATTCGATATAAGAGTAGGCCGTAGTGCCGCTGTCCGGGCAAAATTTCCCTCATCGCACAGTGTATGGCGTCTGCCCGTCTTCATTAGCCCAGTTCCAAGCAGAACAGAAGGACGTTAAACCCCATTTCATTTCTTTTCATTTCTTGAAACTAGTTGGGAAGCCCCCCGGTCCCTACCCCATGCCCCCGGCTCCTTCATCTATGGCTACGAGCATGATTTGCTACTATATTATCTTAGCCCGCTGCCACCGCTGCTTAATATTGAGCGACTTGTTTATTCGACTGAATTATTCGACTGAACTATTCGACTGGTTTATTCGACTGAACTTTTCGACTGGTTTATTCGACTGGATTATTCGACTGAACTAACTGACTGGTTTTATCGACTGGACGAGGCCACATGAAAATATCAAATACCTCATCCCCCCCCACCCCCGCCCCACCCCATCCCCTTTCTTCGTTTATATCATATATAGGGACTCTATTCTTTTCGAGGCGGACAAGGACAGCTGTCTAGTCTTTCGGATGGGACGAAAAACCGAGGTCCCGTGTATACATTGGAGTGGATGTAAAAGATCCCTTTGACAGATGGAATTCGATATAAGAGTAGGCCGTAGTGCCGCTGTCCGGGCAAAATTTCCCTCATCGCACAGTGTATGGCGTCTGCCCGTCTTCATTAGCCCAGTTCCAAGCAGAACAGTAGGACGTTAAAACCCCATTTCATTTCTTTTCATTTCTTGAAACTAGTTGGGAAGCCCCCCGGTCCCTACCCCATGCCCCCGGCTCCTTCAGCTATGGCTACGAGCATGATTTGCTACTATATTATCTTAGCCCGCTGCCACCGCTGCTTAATATTGAGCGACTTGTTTATTCGACTGAATTATTCGACTGGATTATTCGACTGAATTATTCGACTGGTTTATTCGACTGAACTTTTCGACTGAATTATTCGACTGGTTTATTCGACTGGATTATTCGACTGAACTAACTGACTGGTTTTATCGACTGGACGAGGCCACATGAAAATGTCAAATACCTCATCCACCCCCGCCCCACCCCATCCCCTTTCTTCGTTCATATCATATATAGGGACTCTATTCTTTTCGAGGCGGACAAGGACAGCTGTCTAGTCTTTCGGATGGGACGAAAAACCGAGGTCCCGTGTATACATTGGAGTGGATGTAAAAGATCCCTTTGACAGATGGAATTCGATATAAGAGTAGGCCGTAGTGCCGCTGTCCGGGCAAAATTTCCCTCATCGCACAGTGTATGGCGTCTGCCCGTCTTCATTAGCCCAGTTCCAAGCAGAACAGTAGGACGTTAAAACCCCATTTCATTTCTTTTCATTTCTTGAAACTAGTTGGGAAGCCCCCCGGTCCCTACCCCATGCCCCCGGCTCCTTCAGCTATGGCTACGAGCATGATTTGCTACTATATTATCTTAGCCCGCTGCCACCGCTGCTTAATATTGAGCGACTTGTTTATTCGACTGAATTATTCGACTGAATTATTCGACTGAACTATTCGACTGGTTTATTCGACTGAACTTTTCGACTGAATTATTCGACTGGTTTATTCGACTGGATTATTCGACTGAACTAACTGACTGGTTTTATCGACTGGACGAGGCCACATGAAAATGTCAAATACCTCATCCCCCCCCACCCCCGCCCCACCCCATCCCCTTTCTTCGTTCATATCATATATAGGGACTCTATTCTTTTCGAGGCGGACAAGGACAGCTGTCTAGTCGTTCGGATGGGACGAAAAACCGAGGTCCCGTGTCCACATTGACGTGGTCGTAAAAGATCCCTTGACAGATGGAATTCGATATAAGAGTAGGCCGTAGTGCCGCTGTCCGGGCAAAATTTCCCTCATCGCACAGTGTATGGCGTATGCCCGTCTTCATTAGCCCAGTTCCAAGCAGAACAGTAGGACGTTAAAACCCCATTTCATTTCTTTTCATTTCTTGAAACTAGTTGGGAAGCCCCCCGGTCTCTACCCCATGCCCCGGCTCCTTCAGCTATGTCTAAGAGCATGATTTGCTACCATATCATCTTAGCCCACTGCCACCGCTGCTTAATATTGAGCGACTTGTTTATTCGACTGAATTATTCGACTGAACTATTCGACTGGTTTATTCGACTGAACTTTTCGACTGAATTATTCGACTGGTTTATTCGACTGGATTATTCGACTGAACTAACTGACTGATTTTATCGACTGGACGAGGCCACATGATAATGTCAAATACCTCATCCCCATCGCCCCCCTAACCCAACATATCATATATAGGGACTCTATTCTTTTGGAGGTGGACAAGGACAGATGTCTAGTCGTTCGGATGGGACGAAAAACCGAGGTCCCGTGTACACATTGGCGTGCACTTAAAAGATGGGGGCATATGGGGATGAGGGAAAAAGTCAAGCATGACTTTATTAAGCCGCGGTGGCAATAACTAAGATAACACCTTAAAGTTTTAATTTGAACAATCAAATTTGAACATGAGGGGACGTAAAAAATAAACAAAAACAATGATAAAAGATATTGGAATTAGTGCGTTTTTTCTTTAACTTATACAGATTACAAACGATTCCAAAATTTTAATAAGCCATCGACCGGTTTATTCGACTGACTATTTGTTTTGGACTTAGGGTCGACTCCGTGCTTTAGATATCCCGCCCATTTATGAGTCACGAAGGTTTCGTATTCCACAAAAATTATAAAACAGCTTAATGATAATTTTCCACGAATTATTTTAAATAGTGCCAAAAATCAAGTTTATGAATTTGTTGGTAATAATGTTTCAATCGGTTCCTTGTTTACGATTGCAATTGGGTTCGAAACTAAATTTGTCGTAATGGTAATTCCATATCAATAAGTAAAAATGTTTTTGATTGGTCGAATTTTATGGTCGCTTAAAGGAAAACATTCCTTTGAAAAGTTATATAAAGAACACTTTATCTAAATTTTAAATGAAATATTAATTAACTGGTTGGTTTTATGATCAAATCGATAAAAGATTGTCGGTGATAATTGTTTCTTCCACAAATGTTCTGATTTAATCGTAGAATTAGTCTAAAATATTAACCAATCGGGAGCAAGAAAAGAGATTTCCCCAGAAACGGCATGCTCCAGAAAAAGGCCGGCATATTAGTTTTGATAGACTAATTGATAAAATTGTACGAAGTTACGACAAAAGAACGTTGAAATAATCAAATAGATCAGTCAAAATGGAACCCGAGAATCTAGACAACTTAAAAGGAAGGAATCATCTCTTCAAAAACAAGGGAAAAGACCCAGATGTAGGTATATTTCATGCGAATTTCGCGAGACAAATAGAAATTGCGTGGCGGAAAGATCGACATTTGCCATTATTTGGGCGAGTTTGGCAACCCGTTCATGGCCTCTCCCTGATCATATTTAACGTATTTTTCTTTAATAAGAACGGTATTTTGTTTTTTAAAAAAATGTCAACCATAAAGTGGTACATTTTTTGATAAAAGTAGCATGTTTCCTTAAAAAAATATGCAATTAAGAGAACCAGACGTGACCTTGAAACTGTACACAACACTAAAATAGAAAGGGTGGGGTGGGGTTGATTTTTGCCCACTGTAACCAGTTTGTTAAACAATGGGATTAACCTGACTTAAATAAATAAAATTACAAGATAGATTAGATGCCAGGGTTGTTATCGGATCAGACTTCAACACTTTTATTGCACATATGTGGCCTTTTTGGTGTGAAAGATAAAACAAAATTTTCTACTTTTACTTTATCAGTGAGTAAGACATTGGCTCGCTAGTCTGGAGGTCCCGTGTTCAATCCTTGAATTGTCCGAGAAAGTTTATCAGGATTTTCCAGCATGGTGTACCCCCTTCTCAGTGGTTCAGGACAGGGGCCTGGCAAAGGAAAACGTATCATAGTTCAGATGGTACAAAGAAACGAGGTCCCGTGTACACATTAGTGTGCATGTAAAGATCCCTTGGCAGTTAGAATTGGATGTAAGAGTCAGATGTAGCGATGTTGTCTGTTCAGAATTTCGCTATATAGAGCGTACCCGATACATGACCTATATACAGGCCGCCGCCATGCTGGTGGACAACAACGTGCCCACCTCTTAGTAATCTGTTTCAATGGCATTTAGTAATTGAACTAGAGTATACAGGTCACAATTCTATGGAATACAATTACTGCTTTTTACTGAGCGACGTTTCGACTAGGCTTCTCTAGTCATTATCAAGCTATGATAAAAAATGAAAATATGACAGGACAATATATACATGTACACCACAATGCTAAGTTAATGATGACAAACCACCTTATGCCAGGGCTACTATAAAAATCCATAAAAACCCCATGAAAGCCCGTCTGCTGGTGTGTTCTCGAGATTCAGTCTTCTACAACACAGCCCAATATTTATCAAAACTACTTTCCTCACTTGGCACAACTGCATCGTCCTTCATCAAAGATTCAGGTGAATTCTGTGAGAAACTGCAGAATATTCAAAACCCCGGGAGGATGGTCTCATATGATGTTGTAGATTTGTTTACAAATGTACCAAGGGAAGAGGCCCTGAAGATTCTACGCAAGCGCATAGAAAGTTTAGAAAACCCACTAGAGACTTCCCTATCAACAGACAACATCATACTCTTGTTGAAACAATGCATCAATTCAACATATTTCTCCTGGGGTGACGATTTTTACGAACAGACCAATGGATTACCCATGGGAAGCCCCCTCTCCCCTTTAATTTCAGAAATATTTTTAACTGATTTAGAAGAGAAGGCGCTTCAAACATCCACCGTAACCCCAACATGCTTCTTTAGGCAAGTGGATGATACCTTTGTTATTATCAATCAACAAGATGATCCAGAAACACTGTTACAACACCTCAACAGGCAACACCCACGTATAAAATTCACAATGGAAACCGAAAATGATAACCAACTACCTTTCCTCGATGTTTGTGTATCTAAAACCAACAACTCGATCCGCACCAGTGTCTATAGGAAACCAACTCACACCGACCAATACATTCATTTCAAATCTAATCACCCGAATAGCGTCAAATCGGCCACAATTTCAACTCTGGTGAACCGTGCGAAAAAGATATGTGATCCTGAGAGCCTCTCCAAGGAAATTGATCATCTCAAACATGTCTTCACAAATTTCAACGGCTATCCAGGGAAGTTTGTGACAAACGCCATCAACAAGACCCTGTCGGCGAGTGCAGCTAAACCAAAAACCCCGACTGCCCCAGTCAGAATCTTCCTTCCTTTCAACGGCAAAGTCTCCTACCAAATCAAACGGCTACTAATGCAACAACCAGAAATAGATGTAACTTTCACAAAAAGCTACAGCACTAAAGATATATTAAGAGCCAATGGTAAACAAAATCCTACACAACCACCACAACCAAAGGGATGTGTTTATCAAATAGTATGCAATTGTGGGATTGCATACATCGGGGAGACAAAGCGACCATTAAATAAAAGGATAGATGACCACAAGTCGAAAGCAGCAACCAACAACTCAGCTGTAGCTGAACATTTGAACTCCAACCCTCGCCACAGAGTCCAATGGTCCAACGTAAAACCACTATGCAAGAATATAAGCAACAAGAGAGCGCGCCGATTACATGAAGCCATTCATATACGACGACACAAACCAACGATGAACAGAGATCAAGGATTGTTCCTCCCCAGGGCGTATGATATTCTTATCACATAATCAAGGCTAAGCATAATTCTACTTTTTTCTTTTTTATCATATTTAATACTTATCAATATTCCAGTAATAACTTTAAGTTTGTAATAACCATCATAATATGCAAAAATGACAACTAATAATTCCCAACTATTTTTGCTTTTCAGGCATTTCTGCTTTTCAGGCCTGCGGTTATTGTAATTTAATGCACTCAATATTTCTAACCCTGCTTTTCTACATCACCATAACATCCAGTGAAGTACCACTCAATATTTTAAATTGTCAACCTTCAGGGGACTATTGATCATTGTGCAGTCATTGTTCTAAGGGTTTTTCGTATATCAGTGTAATCACTCGCATCAACATCCACATATCAATTATTTTGGTTATAACACAAATCAAATCTCATCTTCGTGGGATGTTGTCATTATCAAAACCTCATCAAATCGTTGTAAATACTCCACAACAATCTATTCTTTTACCATTTGTATTTATTTCAGTGAAAGGGGTCGTTGATAACATTTCATCAATTTTCATTTTCTTGCAACGTTTGTATTATTAAAACCCACTAATCACTGTGTATACTCCACAACAACTTATCCATTAATCAATTAGTCAATTTTTTAGGTTAATTGGTATTATTACTTATTAGCGTACAATTAAATCAGATTACCATTAGGTACACGTAATTAAGTTACATCCCTGGTTTGTCATCATTAACTTAGCATTGTGGTGTACATGTATATATTGTCCTGTCATATTTTCATTTTTTATCATAGCTTGATAATGACTAGAGAAGCCTAGTCGAAACGTCGCTCAGTAAAAAGCAGTAATTGTATTCCATAGAATTGTGACCTGTATACTCTTAGTAATCATGGTAATAGATTTTAGTACCATCACACATTGATTGCTTTTCAGAGTAAAAAATATATATGCGCCAGAAAATGACGTACATATTTGAAAAGAGCAATGAACATGCTTTACAGTTATACGTAATATGATATCTGGAATTTTGTATTAAGACCTGTATTTTTAATTTCAATAGTCCTACCCCTACGAGTTTCGTACCACACTGCACTTTCATCGCTTTTCAAGGCATTTAAGTATGACTGTCCTGGAAAATTATTTACATATTTGAAAGGGGCAATAAGCGTGCTTTTCAGTGGTAGGTAACATGGTATATGTAATTTCGTATTCGATCTACATCAAATCGAGCAACGTTTGTCAATTTCGCTCTTCTCGGCTCCCACAAACATCATATCAGACGGGTTTTTCATCGCTCTACCATTGATAAAAGCACTCTCGTCATTTCTTACAAATTTGTCAAAAAACAAAACAAAAATGAGTACGTATCCTTGAATATCGTCCAATGAAAATTTTATTTTTGGCACTAAAAATAAGTATCACTGAATTCGATACTCTGTTCTGGAATCATGATGCCTAAAGTAAATACTATGGGTGCTTGAAATATTTTTGTTGACGTCAAATTATTCTATTAGTTACTTATTTTTTTGTATAGGCCCTACACACTTTATAGACCTACGGTACTACATAATTAGTCATTGTGGTTATCGATCTAAAATTAATTCCAGCCAATAATACTATAAAGTATGCAATATGCAAATAAGATTGATGGCCTCCGTGCTTGCATGCTGTTAGCTAATAGTTACTGGAAATTTTCCCGCGTTTAGACTGCTCTAACCAATGATAAAATAGTTGGGGCAATAATTCCAGCCAATAATACTATAAAGTATGCAATATGCAAATAAGATTGATGGCCTCCGTGCTTGCATGCTGTTAGCTAATAGTTACTGGAAATTTTCCCGCGTTTAGACTGCTCTAACCAATGATGAAATAGTTGGGGCAATAACAGCCTGCATTTTTATGATATTTTCTCTTAATTAAATATGGATAACAGAAACAATAAAATGATGATTATATCGAATCAGTGAATAATTATTAAACCTCAAATTAAAAATATATCCAGTGAGTCAGTTTTTCAAAAGTTCGATTGATTACCCTACGTAATTTATTTTTATTTTTTTATTTTAAAAACAAACCCATAAATTAAACACACACAATCATGTGAGAAGCTCTATACCGTACGTTTAGATCAACTTCTCATACAATTGTGTGTGTGTGTGTGTGTTTAATTTATGGGTTTGTTTTTAAAATAAAGAAATAAAAATAAATTTAGTAGTTCTCGAAATGTTGCTTAATTCATATTCCACGTCAGACATTATCCATGTAGGTACCCAAACACGATGTAGCTATTTCGCCTATATAAATAAATATAATGGAAATTTTATTTTATTTTGTTTTGTAAATACGCCGTAGAAACAGAATTTCATATTATTTCATATAAACAAACACCGATCAGTCGCTATAAACGCGTTACATGCCATGGTCGAATTCGGATTTTAATAGAAATTGTTTGATATAGCCTATAAACAAACACCGTTTTGTCGCTATAAACGCATTATTTCACTGTCGAATTCGGATTTTAATAGAAATTGTTTGATATAGCCTATAAACAAACACCGTTTTGTCGCTATAAACGCATTATTTCACTGTCGAATTCAGATTTTAATAGAAATTAAATGTAAAATTTAAAATACATAGACAAAATCTTTATTCAACATAAATATCACATGACAAAAGGGCTACAAGCATAATTCCAACTGCAATCACATCGTAACTATCGGACCACGTGTACTCTGGTTGTCCACCAAGATGGCGGCGGCCAATGTGTGTGACGTCATGTAAATTAGCTGTGTGACATATGACTGTCTTCATTTGCCCAGTCGGAGCAGAACGTTAGATGTTTAAACCCATTTCATTTCGTTTATTTTTGTTGCAGGAAATGCGAAGAAGAAGAACAGAAGTTACAGTAGAATTAAGGAAGGTATAAATTGTTTTTACCATAATTTTATTGAAGGCTTTTCTATTTAAAAATGAATTTAAAGGAGCTAAATCGCTATTCTTTGCCACCTAGAAATGGACATAAATGGGTCACAACGTATATAATAATATTATATGAATGTATATAAACTGATTTATATTCAATTATTTCTGTTTTTATACTGTAATTTTAATCGGTTATATTCATCGAAATATGCAATGAGTCTGTTGATTTCAAATGTACAAGCAAAAATAGGATTTTGAAAAAATTCAAGGGGCAATTTTTTTCTTGAATGAAAAAACATAAAAAAAAAGTTTGTGTTCATTCGGCCGTACATATTTTTATAGCTACCCTTGAAAACTCGTTTTTTCTCATTCAAGCGTATACCTTCTTGAGGATGCATTATATAATACAAGGATAGTAAATTAAACTATAAAACATAAGTACTATGTCAAAAAGTGTACATTGATTTAGCAATTTTTCGGATCACGGACAGCTATGCATGACACGTACGTCCGACGCTGAAGTGAATGATAATTAAATCAGTCTACCGGAACTCTCGGCATTATTTATATTTCTGCTTTATTAAAATTTATTTCAATCTGAAAATCAATGATTCCTTTAGAAAATCAAAGTATTGATATAAACAATTTGTCAAGATTTATAGAAATTGAAAAGAAACAGATAATGCTAACGGGTGGAAAAGTGAGCGAGAAGTCACGTGACGTGAACAAAGCTCCTTATATTATAGTATTTATTCATCATTAAGCAATAAAATGTCGTAAATAACATCAAAAGGTAAACATTTTTTCAATATTTGTGTTAAATATCATCCAGAAAAATCAAAACCGTGATATATCCCTGGGGCGGTACGTGTTTTTTTACTATTAATAAACTGTTTGTGTCCGTGAAAGAAACGTATATTTTTGACCGATGTCGGAATTTGTTTGATGGAATATAACGACAATAATGAAAGGACAGATAGTCGAACACTAAAAGAGGTCATTTATGATATGTGTGTATTGTTTTTATTGAATAGGGTAAACTCCTAGCCAATAAAATATAAGATTTTTACCCCGATCAGTTCGGGGGGAAAAACGCATGCGCAGATGTCACAAAACGCCGGATATAGACATCGCTTTATTTACATTTTGCAAGGAACTTAGGACGGAAAATAATCTATAGAATTTCCGTTTTTTGTCATAATTATCATCTTGATTTTGCGTAAAAGAAGAAATCATGTTATTCAGTAACAATAAGTGAAAAAATGTTACACACATTTTTTTTCGTGTGACATATTTTGTGACACGCAGTCTACAAAATCAACACGCATTTTGCGTGTTTGCGTCCGTCAAATTCGATCCCTTAAATTGTTTTGATTTGGGCATTGTATTTGGTTAGTGACTCTATAAGACTGATGGTTTCATTATAAATAACTTTATTTTTCAGTGATATTTTGACATTTAAAGCTTGTGCAAATGCTACCCTACATTATAAAGTTGTTTATAGAATTATTATAAGGAAAATAAAGGGTTTGTTCATTTGCTGATTAAGAAATGTCATCATTTTTTCTTGTTTATCCTGTCTTAAATAGCCCAGTCGTTGTGGAAAAGTAGGACGTTAAACCCCATTTTGTTTCATATTTCTTGTTTATGATAAAAGTAGATATGAGTAACATTATTTGTTTTCTTTTCTAATGATTTTTCTGTTATTTTTATTTTTTTTCTCAGAATAAACGAGATGAACATATGTTAAAACGTCGAAACGTACCAGCTCAAGATAGTACAGATTCTGAAGATAGTGAGAAGCCAACAACTCAGTCATTACAATCTATAGTAGCTAATGCTGCTAGTCCAGAACCTACAGTACAATTATCAGCTGTTCAAGCTGCTAGGTTTGTAATTCCAAGTTAGATGTTACTGTTTATATGCCCATGCTATCGGTTCGGTTCGTCATTCACAATATCTTGTGAACACTCTACAGACAAGAATAATTATCCAATCTTTTTCAAATTTATATACCGCATGTTATTAACATTAGTGAAACGAAGAAACCTATCGAATTTAAAAAAATTCTGTTTATTACTTCTAGAGTTATTGCCCTTGTTAACACTCTATCAACAAAAGTTATCTTCCGGTGAAATGTATATCCATTATTGAGATTAGTAAAACGAAGAAGCCTATTTCAGCAATTTCTGTATATAACTTCTAGAGTTATGGCCCTTGTTTAAATTTGTTAAACCATGTGAACGCTATGACTACTAAAGTTATCAACCGATCTGTATTAAATTTATATTCATTATTTGAATTAGTAAAATAAAGAAACTTATTGAATATCAGCAATTTCTATTAATACTTTAATAGTTAGGACCCTCCCCCCCCCTCCCAAAATGTGTGTGTATTGACAATTGGAATTCTACAACAAGCAGACAGACATGCAAAATAGCACACTACATGGTGTATGCCCATCTTCATAAGCCCAGTTTTTGTGCAGAATGGTAGAACACTATAAAACCCTTTTATTTCATTTTATATTGAGACTAGCGTGCAGTATATTTTCAGGTCATTGTCTCGAAATATGACCCTAGTTTGCATTTTGTCTGGATTGTCCAGGATACATTTAATTGTCAAAGGCTCAAAATAAGCTGACCTGCTTCTAAGGTCATTTTTTCAAAAATTTATATAAGCTTTGGCTTGTTTTCAAATCAATTAATTTCAATATCGACACTCATGTCGGACTCTAAATAAAATATTGTTAGCCTGATTAGGATTGATGCCACGTTGTTATTGTATTTTGTAATTTTTAATTTCAGAAAACTTTTGTCAAGTGATAGAAATCCTCCAATAGATGATTTAATATCTTCCGGTATATTACCTATTTTAGTCGGCTGCTTAGTAAAAGATGATAAGTAAGTAACCATTGACCCTATTTTTACAATCAGAATTACACACCTTGGCGCAGTATTCCTTTGTTTCAAATAGAATTCAATATAAAAGATAATAGAAAGTGAACTTTAAGTGGCCATTATTAAGGCTAGGTTTATATAATAATAATATGAATATTTGTATAGCATTATTCAAAACTGACTGTATGCTCATAGTGCATGAAATGAGTTAAGTGCTCTACAAGCAACATTTGCAACACAATACTAAGCATAAAGTCGAAACAGAAAAGTCTTCAGTAAAAGATTGAAAGTTGATAGGGATGGACAACGTTAATTACGTTGCTAAGTGCCAGATATGAAAATGATTTGCTCCCAAAGTTTGTGAATTGTAAGTTGGTAATTGTAGCTGAAAATTATTTCTTGATAAAGCAATTTGAATAATTTGGACCATTATGCTCTTTTAATGGGTTATTAGGTAAGATTAGATACAGAGCTGACAGTTCTCACTATGATAGTTAAAAAATAGATAATAAAAACAAATTATGCTGTAAATTTCAGTCCAATTGCTTCACTCTGAACAGAGATATTAGTCATTGAATTTTAGGATAGTCTCGGTCGTCATTACTGACGTTGGTATGATAACAAAGTCTTGATTATCCATCATACAATGTATTCAAATCTGGTAAATATCGCAGGCTAATGTTGATATCAAGAGTTGATTATGGTCTGAATAAGTTAATATTAATGTCTAATTAATAATTTAGGTAACATTTCAGGCCTAAAGAAAAACTTGCAATAGGCAGATTTAGCTCTTGCATAATGTATCTTTAATATAACGACTTATTATTATGTATGGTATTAAAGTCTTGTGCCTTTAATGGAGAGGGGTGTGGGGGCTGAATGCTTAACATGTGCGGGTTGGACCATAAGGTCTGTCATTGAGTCAAGTGGCGTGGTTTCGATTCCCCACTTGTACTTAGAAGGAGAAGGGTAGCATGTCCAACCTTGTGGGTTTTTATCTGCTTCCTCCGGTTATCCCCCCAATGCTAAAGACCCTTACGTGCAAGCTAATTGTTGAAATAAAATTGAACCATATGTTAGTCCCTAAATGACCTGGTTTGTGTCTAGTGGATGTTAAACCTCTCTCTCTCTCTCATGGCTATTTGATATATTGTTTATTTCAGCCCTTCCTTACAGTTTGAAGCAGCTTGGGCGTTAACTAATATAGCTTCTGGTACATCTTTACAAACAAAAGCTGTAGTTCAAGCAGGTATAACTCTATTTCATGTCTGTTTTTAATTATGATGGGTCAGTGACTATGGTGCTGGGTCACTAGCTAGAAGCTCCTTGGTTCAATCCCAGTGGTGACCAAACGAGTTAAAATTTCATTTCATTTATAAAAAATATGCTAGTACACTGGCTGTGTTTGAATTAAAACTATCTTGACTGGCTCTTGCTTCTTATCATTGTAAACACAATGGCTCGGTGAGTAAGGCAGTGGATTGGTGAGTAACATAGTGGCTCACTGAGTAATGCTGTTCCTGTGGAATTTTTAACGTGATTACTGATTTCCCCTTACCAGTTGTACAGGACAGAGGGCCCTGGGTCAGGAATAGGATCTAGTTGTTCAGATCGGACAAAAAAATGGTTCTGTTGAAACACCCAAAAAAACCTTGTCAGTTGGAATTTGTCATAAGAGTAGACTGAAATTCTGCTTTCTGGGCTAAACTACCCTCCTAGTGTATTGCATATGCCTGTCTTCATTAGCCCAGTTGGGCCCCCCCCCCCCCCAAAAAAAAACAACAAAAAGCAACCAAGATTCTGTGTACTTATTATTGGCGCAAAAAAAATTTTTGATAATTGGAATTTGTCGAAGAGTAGGCTGAACTGCCACTGTCTAAGCAAAATTACCCTCATAGGGCATTGTGTTAGCCCAGTGGCATAAAAGAAGGATGTTAAACACCATTTTATTTGCTTTAATGTCTGTTTCAGGAGCTGTACCTTTATTTTTACGTCTTTTACAATCGGTTCATTCTAATGTTTGTGAACAAGCCGTGTGGGCATTAGGCAATATCATTGGTAAGTATATTATACAGATAGTGGTAACACTTCCTTAAATACTATCATACAAAAAGATTTTACATGGTTATAAAATAAGGATATGGTGGGGATCGTTAAACTACCATTTAACCCTTAACCGGTCAACGTCATTTTGACACCATGACATCAAGTGGTCAAGCTAGATATTTTGTATGCCTATTTCAATCGACTACTGCCGGATAATTATAAGTGATAGACTCTTGACACCAATAAAAAAGTTGAAGGGGATAAGTTGATCTATAATTTGCAAATCATTCTAAATCATTTTCATCAGAAATATCAAATGCAGCTTATAAAAAAAGTTCTTGCTGTTGTTGACTTTAGTTGACCATGACCACTTAGCTGTATTAAGTTGTGGTGATTATAGTCGACAATGACCAGTTAAGGGTCAAGATACATTATTCAAGAGCTAAATTTGAAGATTGCAGGTTTTGCTTTAGACCTTAAATGTTATATGAGTTATTAATTAGATATTTATTAAACTGACAATGCCATAATAACTCTTGTTGCCATTGGATACTCGAGATTTTAATTAGATTAGAACGGTTCGACCATTTAATGATATTATTTAAAAATGGGAAAGCAAGGCTAAGCCTAGAATATACCAGTACTGTGGTTGCGATAATAAACAACCAATGCACACATCTTGTTATAACTACAAACAGTGATAACATGTAACTTTGATCAGAATAAAGTAATTTGAATGAAATTTTCAATATATTCATTTTGCATTATCTATTTTTGAACCATTTTATCAAGAATGGTCAGCTCTTTATCTAAATCTTACATAATGTATCTTTAAAAGGGTTACAGATAGAATTTTTCTGTGTAATAGCAAGACAAGGACATTTAGGTTTAACACATGAAGCAATGTAGGTAATGATAAAAAAAAAAGGGGGTTTCTAACTTTAACCCGACATAGCCAAAGTAGGGGATCGGATCAAATATCAGCCATGCCGGCGGCTACACAGCCCCTCTCCGTGGACCTGAAGTCGCATTTTGGTTTTAATTGATGTCTTTTCTGATTTTACAGGTGATGGCCCTCAGTGTCGAGACTATGTTATAAGTTTGGGTGCTGTCAAACCTTTATTAAATTTTATCAATCCCACAATTCCCCTCACATTTTTACGTAATGTAGCATGGGTGATAGTTAATTTATGTCGTAATAAAGAACCTCCACCACCTGTAGGAACAATACAAGAAATACTACCAGCACTTTCCACATTGATTCACCATACAGATGTAAATGTAAGTATGTAGTAGGAGCCACGGTGGCTAAGTGGGTAAGACGCTGGCTCGCTAGCCTGGAGGTGGCTTGTTCAATCCCTGCATTGGCCGAGAAAGTTCATCAGGATTTCCGCACATGCTTTCCCCTTGTCAGTGATGCAGGACGAAGGGCCTGACAAAGACAGCTGTCTAGTCGTTTGGATGGTCCCGTGTACCCATTGGCATGCACGTAAAAGATCCCTTGACAGTTGGAATTCGATGTAAGAGTGGGCCCTAGTGCCACTGTCCGGGCAAAATTGCCCTCATAGCACACTGTATGGCGTATGCCCGTCTACATTAGCCCAGTTTAGGAGCAGAACAATATAATTGTTTACAGCTTTTGGCTGGTTAACCCTTTAGACCTAAATTGGTTCATTTACATATAAACATTGACAATAATTGTTTACAGCTTTTTTGGCTGGTTAACCCTTTGGTACTTACTGTGTAAACCACATCAATGTTCAGGAGTTAAAAAATTTTGTGTCAAAGTGAGCTACCATATGAAGATCTATATTACTACTATATAAATGTATATTAGAACATTGATACATGATCTTGTCAAACCAATCGAGGGTTTTTTTTTTTAGATACACATACGGCTATGAAGGCGAAATTCGGCGGTGGATGCTGCACAGAATGTAATGATCTTGAAATGTTAAATTCATTCCGTTCCTTTTCATTTTAACATATTGAGCAATAAAATATATGTGTATTTTATTTAATTTCAGATTTTAGTTGATACAGTGTGGGCTTTATCTTATTTAACAGATGGGGGAAATGATCAGATACAGTTAGTTATAGATTCTAATGTTGTACCTTTATTAGTTCCTTTACTCAATCATCCAGATGTTAAAGTTCAGGTAAATAGATCAATCTTTATTAGGGGCTGGGAACGGTCCCAAATTTTATAGGACATATAGAACAAAAAGAACAAAACAAACAAAAACAATATGGTCGGCATTTGTACCACCAGCACTTGTCCTCTCCAACAGTTTTCCTACAAGCAGTTGTCCAACCTATAACTGCCCTGCTCGCAGGTCACCATAATTAAAAGTAGAACCTTAAGTTATGTTCAGGGCTTCTGGCGTGAGGTGGTTCATTTATTTACAGAGCATTTAAAACACACATGACACTCTAAGATCTATAAAGTTTCTTAAAGTGGCCATTGGCTGGATTTTGTGGCATTGTATTATGAATAAATTATTATTATTCCATACGTTGAGGGGAGCTCATGTTATCTGATCTCAATATTGTGTGTGGGTGTGTGACGACTTTTAGGGGAGTTCATGTACCCTGATCTCAATGTTGTGTGTGATGACTTTTAGGGGAGTTCATGTTCCCTGATATCAATGTTGTGTGTGGGTGTGTGACCACTTTTAGGGGAGTTTGTGTACCCTGATCTCTATGTTGTGTTTGGGATTGAGACAACTGTCCACAAATCTGCTTGGTATTGTATGTAGACCATGTAAAATAATTTCTACCATTATAAATGATAGTACTACTTATAATTGTGTATAAGAAGGAATTAAGTATATGATGTTTTGTAGACGGCAGCGTTACGAGCAGTGGGTAATATAGTAACAGGATCAGATGAACAAACTCAAACTGTCCTCAGCTGTGATGCTTTATCTTATTTCCCTACACTTTTAACCCATCCGAAAGAAAAAATAAACAAGGTAATTATTTTTATAATCTGCAAAGGTATTTTTATGTAATGTGTGGAAATAGTGGAGGTATAACTCAACAATTCCCTAACTTCAATGTTTTTATACATCCAATTATGATTGTCTATCCTGTTGAAAGAAAGAACCCTATTGATTTTCAACACTATTCATTAAGGGGGTGGACAGTAGAAAATTTCAGTTTTTTTAATAATTGAAGTAAAGTCACCATTCTTACACATCTAAGAACACATCCATTGAATATTACAAAAACGGCCGAAAAATTTTCCTGGGGGTACCTGTTGCTATGGAAACGGCGGCCATCTTGGATTTCTGCATATAATTTTAGTCATCCAGTTTCTCAGAAACTATTCAACAGAATGTTTTAAAATTAAGCAGAGAGGTTACTGACATGTTCCTTTGTGCAATAGGCAAGTTTCATTACAAAATAATAATTAGAAAGCAAGTTATACACATTTTAATGTTAACTTCAAAATTCTTTCACGTGTCACAGTTGCTATGGCAACAATATATCAGGAACTATTTTGCAGATTTCAATAAAATTCTCCTATTGCACAAAGTTATTATATAGGAAGTTATATTCCAAGTTTCAAGAAAATCTGACGATAATTTTCAGAGATATAGCATGACTAAAATTGGTAACTCTAGAAAAAAACTGTTTTGAGAAATCAACAACTGAAGTTGAAGTATTTCAGTAGAACAACTTACGCCGATCTGTTCAATTCATTTATTTAATATTAAAAAACTGACTTTTAATATATATATTTTCTAATGTATTTCTTATCAATATACAGTATTTTCTTATTTTATTTCTTGTGTGTAAATTTACAACCGAACATTGGCATAGGAATAGATGTTATTCAAAACAACCATAACTATAATAATCACTGACAGCAGGCCTACCTGGTAATGGTATTGCAACCATACCACTACTAGGTCTAGCAGACGAATATTCATCTTCATTTTGTTTATTATGAGTGTCTGTCATACTTATTTAGTCATCTAAACAATTTCAAACGCATTTTATTTGAAAATCTTCAAAAATATTGATAAACAGTGACGTACGGTTCAGCAATGTAGCAACCAGGATTGATTTGGGACCTGAGCTTAGTGCGCATGCCTATTGACCTGACCTAGAGGATAGCCCGCTTCTGATTGGACACTTCACCATTGACCTATGTGACCGACCAATCAAATAACGTAATCTTGAAATAACCTCATTAGGTATGCAAAACTTGTTCTTGCTTGCTATTTTTATCTCAATACAGAAGAAAGGTTTCAAGACACCCCCAAAAAACGTCATTTCCTTTCAATAGGGGAAATCCCAAGCTTTCTTTCAGTATCCAACATGGCGACAGTTTACCGGTCGGAAGCCAAGTATTTCACGTATGAAATGCCTATTGTTTTTAGATTTATATCAATAGTTTTAGCGGAATTAGGGCAAAATAAAAAAGGGTGGGATCATTCAGAACCAAATTTTGTAGAAATAAAGAAGAATTTTGTGAAAAAAATGACTGGTATGTGTTCCTAGATAGTGTTACTCGCAGATAATCATAAAACCTCAAAAACGATTTTATTGTTAAAATTCACCAAATGAAGTGCGAACGACGGCCTTAATATCTTGCCTTCATGCCATCAAAAGATTTCAGCAAAACATAGGGGGAGTTGGCTTGTGTTATCCTATATTATGTCTGCAGTGGTTGTAAATACTGGTCCGTGAAGCAGGACGGAGGACCTGACAAGGACAACTGTCTAGTCTTTCGAATGGAACGGAAAACTGAGGTCCTGTGTACACATAGGCGTGCACGTAAAAGATCCCTTGATAGTTGGAATTCGATATAAGAGTAGGCCGTAGTATCGCTGTTTGGGCAAAATTTCCCTCATAGCACACTGTATGGCGTATGAACGTCTTCATTAGCCCAGTTGGAGTAGGACGTTAAACCCCATTTCATTTCATTCTCTACTTGTTTTATTTTCAGGAAGCCGTTTGGTTTTTATCTAATGTAACCGCTGGCAACCAGACACAAGTACAGGCAGTTATAGATGCCGGCCTTATTCCTTTAGTTATACATCATTTAAGTCGAGTAAGTTTTCTTTTCTGTTTTACCATTAAACTTTTTATTAAGACATGGTTACATTCACTTAACACAAGGCTACTTACCATATCATTCACTCAACACAAGGCATCCCTGGACACAAGGCACCCGTCTTTGTCAGACACAAATTATGAAATATACGTTGTGGGATAATTTGTGCCTTACAATGACGGTGCCATATGTCCAGCCAGGCTTGTATATGTACATTGTGTGATAATTTGTACTTGACAAAGTCTGACATGTGGCTTGTGTCCAGGCTTGAACACAAGGCTATATACCATATTCACTCAAGGCAAGTCTACTTACCATAGCATTCATTCCAGATTACCGAGTACCATCCATATCTTTCACCCAACACAAGGTTGCTTACCATATCTTTCTCCCAACTCAAGGTTGCTTACCATATGATTCATTCTACACCAGGATACTTTCCGTATCATTTGACGAACCTGTGCAGTATTTGGTTGAGATACTGGACTCGCTCACTAACCATAGGTTCAAACATACGCCCACAGCAGCTAAGTCGTCTGGTGTGTCAACAAGGGTTGTCGCATATTTTTTTCTTTTGTCAACCTTTGTTTGATAAATGTTGTTGATGTATAATTTATATATTTTACAGGGAGAATTTCAGACACAGAAAGAAGCTGCCTGGGCTATAAGTAATTTAACTATAAGTGGTAGAAAAGAGCAAGTCATGTACGTAGTAGAGCAGGGAGTTATCCCCCCTTTTTGTGATCTACTAGGTGTAAAAGATACTCAGGTAGTCAATGTGGTATTGGATGGTATCAATAATATTCTTAAAATGTCAGGTGACGAAGTGGAATCAATTGCACAGATGATTGAAGAATGTGGAGGTAAGAGAAGATACCTCTGAATAAAATATCTTAATGGGCTGAGAAAGTTCATCTGGATTTTTGTCTCGGTTTCCCCCCTTGTCAGTGGTGTAGGATGGGGGGTCTGGCAAGTGATTATGGAAAATCGTGCATGTCAAAGTCCCCTTGATAGTTTGAATTTGATATAAGAGTAGGCCGTAGTGCCGCTGTCTGGCCAAAAAAAACTTCCCTCGTAACACACTGTATGTTTATCCCGTCGTTCATTAGCCCAGTCGGTGTAGGGTGTTGAACCCCATTTCTCTACCTTTCATTTGATTTGGAATCACTGTGTAGATCTAGAAGTACGACAGTATTTATCCATCCTGGTTCACATTAGGCAAGGGCGGCTCCTCTAGGCTTTTACGTGGGATGAAAAACCATGATGCATCTGATCTGTGTACATATTGGCATGCACTTAATTACAAGAAACCGATCCAAATTGAAATCGTTGGCGTACATAATCCTATTTGGGTTTACATTGTATTATATTATTGTGGGTGTTGACAAATATAAATATATATAAGGTGTTGTGAGGGGCGGGGGGCTTCAGATTAGAAAGCCTGCCATTGAGTCAATGCTTGTACGTGACAAAGAGGAGGGTCACTTGTCCAACCTCATGGGTTTTCTCTGGGTAGTTCGGTTTTCTACCACAGGATCCAGGTTAGGGTTGCATTGACATTAAACCAATCTCTCTGTGAGTTGTTGGGGTTTGGTATTGAGTTCTGTTTTCACCTTCAGGTTAATTATTAACTGAGTGTGGCGTTGATCCTGTATTTTATTTATGATATTTTTCAGGTTTAGATAAAATAGAAAATCTACAGAATCATGAAAATGAAGAAATATATAAACTGGCTTATTTGATAATAGATCAATATTTCTCGGGAGAGGTCAGTAGAGATGGTTAAATATATTCTTTGTATTATAACAGACAATTCAGTCTTGTATAGTCCAGTAGTAGATATGGTTAAATATATTCTGTGTATATAACAGACAATTCAGTCTTGTATAATCCAGTCTCTTATCCATCAGTAGATATGGTTAAACATATTCTGTGTATATAACAGACAATTCAGTCTTGTATAATCCAGTCTCGTATCCATCAGTAGATATAGTTAAACACAGTCTGTGTATATAACAGACAATTCAGTCTTGTATAATCCAGTCTCGTATCCATCAGTAGATATAGTTAAACATAGTCTGTGTATATAACAGACAATTCAGTCTTGTATAATCCAGTCTCGTATCCATCAGTAGATATGCTAGCGTCTGAACTCTCATATTGGCATTCACATATAAGAAACCTTGACAGTTGGGATTTGAAATAAGAGTAGGCTGTAGTGCCGCTGTCTGGGCAAAATTTCCCTCATAGCACACTGTATGGTGTATGCCCGTCTTCATTAACCCAGTTCGGAGCAGAACAATAGGACATTAAACCCTATTTCATTTCATTTTAGCAAAGAAATTGAAATAAAATGAACCACATTTTTGTCCAGAAATGACCTAGGGCTCTGTCAATTGAACATTAAACTTGAAATATCCTATCAATTTTAAATGCTCCCATATAACTACAACTTTTATGAGCTGCTCGGACAACTTCCCTGCGGGGTGGAAAGTTTCATTGCCTGATAAACTATTTGTTTTTTTTACCAGGATGAAGAGGAGAATTTAGCACCAGAAGTTTCAAGTGAAGGATATCAGTTTGATATAAATACACAGTTACCACAAGATGGATTCAAATTTTGACCCCATTCAGCCGACAACGTGGGAAAAATGCTCCCCGCTTTTTCGTGGTACATGCTGTGAATATATTAAAGAATAATGTGTAAAACGGGCAGAAATTACAGTTATTTAAGAACTGTAAAAGAAACACCTGAAAATATGGACTACAAGCAACATTATCCAGTGATTTTAGTAATACAAAAGACACAAAAACAATAAGTTAGTTGAATTGTTGATTGGTGTTCAGCCAAAATGGCAAACAACTTTACTCGTGATATAAGCATGATCGTATTAGAAAAGCAAAATAAATATTTTATTTTTTTATAAAGGGAAATAATTTCTGAGAAAGAAACAATTAATTCCTATTTTGCAGCTTGGCTCCATGGATGTCGACTTTTTGTTATTATATTTGTTTATGGGAATTCAACTTTTATTATTGATAAGAAAAAATGATGTGTGTAAATTCTACCAGTTGATAATATTTATTGTTTGAAAATGAAAGTAGTGTAACAATGTTCATCTTTATACCATGTAAAAAAAAAAACTCAGAGGACAGTTAATTGGACATATTCAAGCTAAACGTTACACCTTGATCAAATAATACTTTTTTTTGAAAATGGATTTAATTACAAGCAGATTAAAGATCAACCATATGTAAACATTTTGACTCAGAAGAATGGATTTCTGAATTTAATTAGAGGTTCAATAGACTCGCCTACATAATTTTGATTTTAAAAGTTAATCAAATATTTTAGAGTATCTGTTTCTTTGTCTCGTCGTAGCTAGAAAGCCTTTATGTAAAAGTTCCTGCTGTTAAAGTTTGTTATCAATAATATTAATTCTACAGACAAATCGAAGTCTTAATTCTGTTTTCCATGCATGTACATGTTTTTTTTCCGGTTACATGGAACAGGTCCCATTATAATTTTTGTTAGACCTTTTTTTTTTGCTGTCAAAAAAATGTGTAAACGGCACGAAAACACATACATGGAAAATGAGCCTTATGCCCATTGGTTGAAAATTTGCATCCAATATGGATGACCTTTTTGTGTTTTCACTGCTTATCATTCTAAATACTTTCTTTTTGTATATTGCAAATATTTTTACAAAGATTTGTTGGGTTTTTGTTTTATCTAGCAAGGCAGGAAGTAATACTGCATGTTACACACCGATTTTTGCTGGAGTTTGTTAATCATTGTTTTCAAGATATTTTCCAACAATCAAATAATTTATTGTACATTTTTTAAGAAAAGAAATTTATGGCAGAATAGAAGACCTGTGCCGACCAAAAGTGCTTAACTAAACTTCTAGAGAGAAATATTTTTATGTTTGTCATTTCCATTCACAATATCTTGTACATGTAATTACACTTCAAATCAAAAGGACGTAACTGAAATGGCGTTATTTCCCTTTTGGCCATGGGAGAGTTTATTTTTGGGTCAGTTGGGGAAGGTGAGAAATCCCTACACACCTGAGTTAGACATCAGAATTCCCGATAGATCAATTTTCCGAATGAAAATGACCAACCCAACGACCCTATAAATAGACATTGCATCCTGACATAGATTTATCAATAGCTTCTTTTAAATTATCAATAGCTTGTAAATTAAAGATGCATTATGTAAGAGTTAGATAAAGAGCTGACCATGATCTTGCTATTATAGTTCAAAAATAGATAATGAAAAATCAATTTATTGAAAATTTCAGTCAAATGACTTTATTCTGATCGGAGTTAGATGTATGACTGTTTTAAGATACAGCATAGATTGGTTATTATCGTAGCAATGGTTATTGACAAAACTAAATTTGATTATCCATTTTATCTTTAAATTTTTAAATCTTGTTTGTTTTAATCCATTTAAATCTCAACCATCCGATGATCTAAAGTTAATTATAAGTTTGTCATGTGAATAAATATCTAAATATTTATATAACATTTGAAGCTAAAATAAAGACCTGCAATAGACAGTTTTAGCTCTTAACATAATGCATCTTTCAAGGAGGGATTTAGCTCTTACATAATGCATCTTTAATCTGAGATAAAACAAAATGCATGAAAAATTGACTAGAGTTAATCCAAATGCTACCCTTTTCTGTTGATATTTCATTTATAATAATTTCACAAAGTTTTCATGCTTTAGACTTGAAGGGAATGATGTTTAATTACAAATATTAATATGCTCAATATGTTCTCTTTTTAATAGTCCTTTAGGCTAGTGTTAACATTCCTTGTGTATTTAGGTGGGGAGGGGGCTGGAGGATGGTTGGGTGGTAGCATGCCCTTTAGATCATCAAGATCAGTCATTGAGTCAAGTGGCTTGGTTTGATCCCAAACTTGAATGTGATAATGAGTCACATCACCTGTCTAGCCTCATGGGTTTTCTTTGCGTTCCCCTGTTTCCTTCCACTGCTAAAGACCCCTACACGCAAACGAATTATTGAAATAAAATTGTACTGTATGTTAGTAACAAAATAGGCTAGTTTGTGTCAAATGGATGTTAAACCCCATTTATCTCCTTGTGTTTTGATTAAGGAAGTTATTTATATGGGGACAAACAAGTACAAGGAGTGAACCACTACCTGGTTCCAGTGATGTGTACAACAAACCAAAATCTGCGTCTCTCTGCTCAGGTCTATTGGTGATACAGCCATCATGGTGATACAGCCATCATGGTGATACAGCCATCATGGTGATACAGCCATCATGACTGGATATACAATTGATTTAGGTTCAGACATGATAAAAAAAATAGAAAAGATCCAATTGGTGTACTTAAAGATACAATATGGAAGATAAGATAAATAGCTGGCAGTTCTCATAATAGTTATAAACTAGATAATTGAAAGGGAATTTGCTGAAAATTTCAGTCAAATTGATCCATTCTGAACCGAGAATTTAGCAATTGAATTTTGGGCCTACCCACGATCATTACTAAAGTCGGTACGATGAAAATGTCTTCAGAAATTGGGTTGATTCATATATTAAAAATTCAAAAGCTGGAGGATTAATTCATATTATTGTTAGTATAGCCCACACTAAAATGTAAACAAGTTTTCAATTGATCAGATCTTTGTAAATTTTTATATGGAAGTGAATTGCACTGTTTAATCTGATATACCTTTTAGAGATATTGTAGTTTGCAAGTGATTTACAATCACTCACATGGCGAGCAGAGGCTGTAGAGCCAAATGTTAGTTCATTATGTGTTAGTACCTTAAGGAAACCCAAAGATTACTTTGTGTATAATTCAATTCTTTGATATTAAGAGGTTGTATTAAATGTTTTGTTCAGATGCATTGTTTGCTGGACAGAAGCTGTTTAGCCTTCCCTAGATATATCTTGTATATGTATGCTGCCTTTTACACATATGAGAATTTCTCTCAGAAATGTTCATTTAATGTTTAATGACCAAAGAAGCACAAACCTTGGTAGCCTTAAATCCATCCAATAGGTTATAATCTCTTGTATGTTAAATGACTTTTTTCCAGCCACAAGTCTATGATTTGCACCAGTTGGAGTTAATCAAAAGAGACCTATTGATCAGGGCTATGGAGTTCACATTAACTATAGCTTAGGACAAAAAAAATAAATGTTTTATCCAAGGGACAGTTTCACAAAATGGTAACAAAGCATTATTATCATGCAGGCATTTCGAGTAAAGATTAAAAAAATCATTAGTCATGTGTGCTCCTGGAAATTAAAAAAAATATTTGGGCTTTGTTGTCAATGTTGTGCTCTGTTGGTCTAAATATCCTGCATTCACATAATATTATGTACATAATGTGTAACCAAAACAAATAATTCCTCTTTTAAATATGCTGGTCAAGTCACGAGTTAGATTCTCCATGTCATGTGATGACTGTAACTCGGATGACGTTAAAATGAATACGTAAAACGTGTGTTTATTCAAATATTAAAACTCTGCAGAGCTTCAAAAAAAAAAAAGAAGAAAGGTGGGATAATTCCATGATAGTTTTTCTTTTTTTTACACTGTTTTTGTCTGTGATACTTTTGAAAAGTGGCTTAAATGTTGACTTCTTAAAAAATTAAGAAGAATTGAAAATGCCATCTTTCTACGAAAAATAATCTGAAAGTCCTACAAATTACTTGCTCATTTATATGGTACTCGGAACTTTTTAGTTGGCTCTGCAGTTTTTTACCAAAGGAGATATTTCTCGATATATTTTATGCAAATGTTAAATTAAATCTAGTTTTAAAGATAAAACGAACCTCCTTGAAAGCCAGCTTAGTCGAATAAAAGAAGGGTTATTTAACATTGTTTATAGGGTTGTTATAACACCTTTTATTGTGGTGACTGTATTATTTCCATAAATATCATCTTAACATGATCAAAATAACACAGCAATAGTTAGCGTGCTTGATGATACAGAACTCGTTTTTCTGCAGAGATGGGGTTCATTTTTATAGGGAAACCAGACTTGCATTTAAAGAAATTAAGAATTAAGGGTTGTATCTCAACTTGTTTATTGGGTTAAAGGCCTATGGTCCAATGCAAGAAAACCTTAATTCAAAATATTTCAACAACTTTTGATTGTTTCTTACAGGGGTAAAGCTCTTGATTAAGACGATATATCATGTAGGCACTCTTTTGCACAAGTGAAAACTATCTTGCCCATTTAAAGTTGTTATTCTTCCATTTGGACCTGTAGGCCTATAAATTGATGGAATCTGAATAAATTCATCAAGTTTGCCTAATGTGTAGTGTGTACTTTGATTATGACAAGATGAATAGATATTTCATAAAATAAAAGGTGAATAATACCCAAGTATGGTTAAATTTACAAATTACAAAAAAACTTGAAGAAAAATGTAAAATAAAAAAAAGCATTTAAAAATAAATGTTATGGCTTGTTGTTTTTGTAATACAGGGTGTGCACAACTCTGAACACTTAGAATTCCAGGATTTTCCAGTACTGGAAATCACATTTTCATTTTTCCAGGATTTTCAAGGAGAGTGTGAACCTTGTAATACTAGCAGCTACATGGTCAACTCCTGCCCTTATTAATCCAGTTGGTGTAGAAAACTGGTATGTTAAACAGAGTTCAAACCCCATTTCATTCCATTATCTTGCGTTTATTATTTATAATCCTACATTAAAATATGCTTATATATTGTCTTCACCCCCAGACTGTCGCTTTTGTCCACTAGAAGCTAAAGTTATCATTCGATTAACTTAAATTTATACGCAATGTTTTAATGTCCATGGGATGATGAAGTCTATCGATTTTCAACAATTACTTGCACAGTTATGGCCCTTGATAATTTCTCGCTGAGTTAGTAGCTCTGTTGGTGCAAAAAAATAAATTTCATCTCATTTAAAGTATGGCCCTTGATCAGTGGGTCAGTAAAGTATATCTTGTTAACCAGGTCTTGGGTTCGCTCAGGATTTTCCAACAAGGTTTGCCTGTGTCGGTGGTGCAGGATGGAGGGCATGGCAAGGACAGTATCTAGTCGTTAAGATAAAAAAAACCAAGGTCCTGTGTACACACTGGAGATGGACATAAAAGAACCCTTAACAGTTGAAATTCAATAATAAGAGAAGGCCTAAGCCAGTCTTCATAAGCCCAGTTAGAGCAGAACAGTAGGATGTTAAACCCCCATTGTGAATGCTCTGATTAATTCATCATATTGACTTGTAATTTATACACATGTTTATGTTCAGGATTCTAATACGATTATCACAGACCTTATGGTCTAAAGTACAAAGATTAGACCACTAGGTCAATCAACCTCGCACCATTTTATCAATGTTATTTCATGCCAAAATTTTCCAGATAGACAAAAATACACAGACTCCAATCTTTTTAAAAGATAGTAATAATCAGCTTTGAGAGATGAACTAGATCCTTTTGGGACTGAGATATTTCTTCTAAAGGCAGGGGACAATAACCATAAGTAACTCTCATATTATAAAATGAAAAAGAATAATATCGTAAATATTCTTTAATCTTTGTAAAATTTACAAGGTAACTTTGAATAGATCACAATTGGTGGAAGACACTTTAAATCGGGTAAGACACTCTAATTTGGGGCTTTCACTTCAAAAATTTGGCTAGACAGTCAATCTTTTTGAGCAGGTCAATTTCATTGTTGTGTTTTAGCTATTACAGATTAATGAAATTGTAAGGAATATGTGTAGACTCCAAAGTATAAAATAACTTGTAATTTAAAGATAATAAATTTTTTTCATTAAAAAAAAAATTGCCCCTTGAATTTCTTCAGAATCCAATGCTATCCCTGGTTTCAAGGTCAAATTCTTTGAAATTAGAATTGCATAGCCGTGTAAATTGACTGACAGGTAAGTTCTTCACCTGGTCAATTTCACTGCCATTCAGTCAAGACTGGCGTATGCAACTAAAACCAAAGCCCTGCTTTAAACACAGTAATAAGCATTCTGGTGTCAATAATACTCAAAAAATGTCTAAGATATGTTTTAACAGTAACATGTCTTTTAATCTCGTTGGTATCGGCAATTTCTTAACCTTTTCACAAGGCATAAGTCCCAAGAACTCTCTGACATTTTTGATGGAAATATCCAACAAGCTACGTGGATTTCTGGAACGCTGAATTAACCATTCGTGCATTTCTGGATTGTCCAACAACGCTTTGGGAATATTTCCCTTTCCAAATAAATATTTCAGATTACTGAGATTATAGCCAACGTCGTAATATAACCGGACCAAATCAAATTTTCCATCATCAACGGCAAATTCCATTGAGTCGAAAAAATATTCCATTTGTTCTCGCTTACGATAAATATTCCCTTTCATATCAAGTCTTGTATTATAGTATAATAACTGCTTGATGCAAGGGAGGTCACCCTTGGTGGTAGCTAACAAAATGGCTGTAGCTTTAGAAGCAACTGAAATATATAAGATTAAAGCCATATTAAAACTTATTTCATAACATTGAAACATCTACTGTTCCAAACAGACTAATGAAGATGGACACACACCATGCAGTGTACTATGAGGGAAATTTTGCACTAACAGCGGCCATACCGCGAAGGAGGATCTTTAACAGCCTGCAAATGTGATACATAATTCATCTGTGGTGTTTGTCCCATCAACTGACTAGTGGAACACTGGGAACCTGCATGTAAAATACTGAGGAACTTCCTCACCGAGACCCAACAGCGAGATATAGAATCAGGGACCTCCTGTTTAGTCAGTGGAGGGTTGGGTGGTCTAGTAATGAAATCATAACTCTCTGTCACTGAGTCAAGTAGCGTGGTTTCAATTCTTCGCTGTACGTGACAAGGAGTAGGGTTTGCTCCGGGTTCTTCCCATTTTTAAAGACCCCTACGTGCAAGCAAATCATTGAAATAAAAAATTGAACCATATGTTAGTCCTGAAATGACCTAGTTTGTGATGAGTGGATGTTAAACCCCATCTGTGAATGAACATCATATTCACGGTTTCCTACTGGAGTCCGCTGTAAACCAACTACATTTTTTGAAAGAGTTTATCAATTGCCTTCATACACTTATACCCCCGTCAGACTATAGGGTGGCATCCTTACTGCGCTGTTGCGAGCGTACGGCGACCAGAATATGCACAAGGTCACCGGCAAACGTGAACACAATGCAGGAAAATGTCCCCAAAAATTACAAAAAGTCACGTTCTTACAGCTTTCCAAGTCAGATTGCAGAACCCTGGCGTCTGTTCTGAACATACTCAAAACAAACGCTGTGACTAAGCAATCACTGGCGACCATGGAGACCTCAGCACAATATCTGACGTTTCCACCCTGCTTTTGCCACACTTATGGCGATCTTGATGTGCTTTGAGACAATTCTCCATTGCTGTAGCAGCGCAGTTAGGACGCCATCCCGGTCTGACTGGGGTATTACAAAAAATACTTACATGTAATATTAACATTTACTCCATGAGACAAGAAAAGTGCCACAAGAGATTCAGCCTGTCGGGAGACAGCCGTTATTAGCGGATTGCTAACTTCACACAATCCAAGGTCAAGATTTGAACCGGCTTGGATCAACATAATTATTATTGTCATCAAATCTGGATTGATGTTACGTGAATAATTCGGTCGAACTTTGGAACAGATGGCACTTGTGATAGCAGATCGTCCAGCCCCATCCAGTAAGTTAGGATCAGCACCTGCTTCTAATAACATCTCTACAGCTTTTACATATAAAGTAACAGCAGCCATCTTAAAAACAAAAAAATTAAAAATATTCTTTAATCCAGAAAATATATTTAATTAGGTATGCCTCAAAGAAATGTTAATGAAATGAAATGGGGTTTAACATCCTACTGTGCTGCTCCAAGCCAAAGAATTCTAACAGATCCACAGTGGTTTGGTATATATGATGCTTTCGCACTAACCAAAAGGTCCTGGGTTCAAACCTGGTGTTTGCTGAGAAAGATCCTCAGGATTTGCCAGTCTGGTTTCCCCATTGTCAGTGGTGCAGGACAGAGAGTCTGGCTAGGAAAAAGTATCTTGTCATTCGGATGGGATGAAAAATATGAGGTCTTATGTATACCACGTTGAAGATTCCCTGATAGTTTGAGTTACTCATGGGTTTACTCCAAGTGCTCCAGTTTCCTCCCACAAGAAAGACCCCTGTGCATGTGCTAAGCATAATAAAATAAGACATGTCTGTGATATCACCATCGGTGGAAAGAAAGAGGGAAATGGGGTTTAACGTCCACTCAACACGAACTAGGTGGTTTTGGGACTAACATATGGTTCAATTTTTATTTCAATAATTCACTTGTGCGTAGGGGTCTTTAGCAGTGTGAGCAAACCAGAGGATCTGGAGAAAACCCACGTAAAACCAGGGAATCGACACCATGCCAGTTGACTCAATGACAGACCTTATGATACAGCATGCGCATGCTAACCATTCGGCCACCCCTCCCCCACCCCAGTCGGTGGAAGTGGATATTAAACACTAATAGAAGACGAAGGACACCATACCTGTTTTACACATTCTTATGGAATAAGAAACACTAGAAAAAGATGGTGATTCAGACTTTCTATCTTTTTCATGCAAAATTACATTTCATGGATGATAATGATGCTGTTAAATCATGCTGCAAATTTACAATTTCGTGGATGATGTTGATTTTTTAAATCATGCTGCAAAAATTACAATTCTGTGGATGGTAGTGATGTTGATGATGTTCTTAGTTAAACCATGCTGCAAGAATTACAATTCTGTGAATGGTGTTGATGTTGATAACATTCTTATTTAAATCATGCTTCAAAAATTACAATTCTGTGGATGGTGTTGATGTTGATGATTTCTTGTTTAAATCATGCTGCAAAAAGTATTTTAAACCTGAAGAGCTGTTCTCTTGCTTCTCCGTTCTTTGAGATCGACATTGGCACCAGCTTCAATCAATATCTTGATTATACTGTTCAGAGAATCAGGGTCCGATTTAGAATAACAGCAAATCATTAGAGGAGTATAACCCTCGATGTTTTGAATGTCTACAAAGGCTCCATGACATAACAGCATTTTAACACAATCGACCAGTCCATTGTCAGCAGCCATATGCAATGCAGATTTACCAAAACTGTCCTGGTCATCCACAATACTTGGATCTCTGTCCAACAAACTTTCCGCAACTTCCAAGAATTGGGTCGTCACACAGTACATTAAAGGGGTCTGACCCCATTTGTCATTTATGCCAATGTAGGCTCCGGCATCCAGTAGGAGATTAACCATTTCCACCCGTCCTTTACCACAGCAGACATGTAAAATAGATTTTGTGCTGATATTCATCCGATCTTCGTATGACTCCTCAACATCAGCTCCCATCTGGATTAACTCTCGAAATCTCTCCACATCATCATCATCAGCTGCGTGATAGAGTTGACCATGTGTTAACTCCATTTCTATAGTAACCAGATGAGTTCTTTTTTAAAATCTTCACGCTTACATATTGTCCAATATTTCTCTGAAAAGAAAAAAGATTTGTTGATATCTTTAAAGAGAAATGATGTTAAAGGACAACATCATACAGTTCTTTAAATAACATCTAGAAGTCTGGTTAAAGTGGCATCATGAGAGATTGGATAAAGAGCTGACAGTTCTTGCTATAATAGTTAAAAAATAGACAATGGAAACAGAAAATGCTGAAATTTCAGTCAAATTGCTTCACTCTTCAATTTTCAGCTAGCCTCAATCATAATTACTAAAGTTAGTTCTATAATAAACAAAGTCTCGATTATCCATTTTTAAGTTAAATTATCCATCACAAAATGTATTCAAATCCACTATATATCACAGGCTAACAATGGCGTCGGGTGTTGATTATGGCCTGGATCAGTTAATTAATGTCTAATATTATAATAATTTAGATAGCATTTCAGACCTGACCTGCAATAGGCAGATTTAGCTCTTGTGTGATGTATGTTTAACTATTCATAACAAAACACAACACAAGGTATATATGGATATAACTACTAATTGGTTATTTAATAACGATGTCGCATACAGATCAGGTTACAAAACGTTATTAAATAACAGAGAAGTGGTTATATATTGTCATACAGATTAGGTCAATGTTGGATTAATTAACATGGGATATTTTATTTCAATATTTTGCTTCAGTACAGGGATTATTAACAGTGGGTGAAACCCCCAGACTGTCGCTTTTGTCCACTAGAAGCAAAAGTTATCATTTGATTAACTTAAATTTATACGCAATGTTTAAATGTCCATGGGATGATGAAGTCTATCGATTTTCAACAATTACTTGCAGAGTTATGGCCCTTGATAATTTCTCGCTGAGTTAGTAGCTCTGTCGGTACAAAAAAATAAATTTCATCTTATTTAAAGTATGGCCCCTGATCAGTGGGTCAGTAAAGTATATCTTGTTAACCAGTTCTCGGCAAAATTTCCGTCATCGCACACTGTATGGCATAAGCCAGTCTTCATTAGCCCAGTAAGTGCAGAAAAGTTGGATATTAAACCCCATTGTGAATGCTCTGATTAATTCATCATATTGACTTGTAATTTATACACATGTTTATGTTCAGGATTCTAATACGATTATCACAGACCTTATGGTCTAAAGTGCAAAGAAATGAAATGAAATGGTGTTTAACGTCCTACTGTTCTGCTCCTATACTGGGCTAATGAAGACGGGCATACGCCATACAGTGTGCTATGAGGGAAATTTTGCCCGGGCAGCGGCGCTATCATCTACTCTTATATCGAATTCCACCTGCCATAGGATCTTTTACGTGCATTCCAATGTATACACGGGACCTCGGTTTTTTGTCTCATCCGAAGGACTAGACAATTGTCCTTGTCAGGCCATCCGTCCTGCATCACTGACAAGGGGGAACCACGCCGGAACATCTGGATGAACTTTCTCGGCTAATACAGGGATTGAACACCAGACCTCCAGGATAGCGAGTCAGCGTCTGATCCCCTTCTTCGAAAGGCAGGGGACAATTACCATGAGTAACTCTCATATTAATAAATGAAAAAGGATAATATCGTAAATATTCTTTAATCTTTGTAAAATTTACAAGGTAACTTTGAATAGATCACAATTGGTGGAAGACACTTTAAATCGGGTAAGACACTCTAAGTTGGGGCTTTCACTTCAAAATTTTGCCAAGCCTTCAATCTTTTTGAGCAGGTCAATGTCATTGCTGTGTATTAGCTATTACAGATTAATGAAATTGTAAGGTATATGTGTAGACTCCAAAGTATAAGATAATGCAATTATTTTCATTAAAAAAAAAATTCTCCCTGAATTTCTTCAGAATCCAATTCTATCTCAGGTTTCAAGGTTAAATTCTTTGAAATTCTAATTTCATAGCCTTGTAAATTGTCTGACAGGTAAGTTCTTCACCTGGTCAATTTCACTGCCATTCAGTCAAGACCGGCATATGCAACTAAAACCAGAGCCCTGCTTTAAACATAGTAATAAGCATTCTGGTGTCAATAATATTCAAAAAATGTCTAAGATATGTTTTAACAGTAACATGTCTTTTAATCTCGTCGGTATCGGCAATTTCTTAACCTTTTCACAAGGCATCAGTCCCAAAAACTCTCTGACATTTTTGATGGAAATATCCAACAAGCTACGTGGATTTCTGGAACGTTGAATTAACCATTCATGCATTTCTGGATTGTCCAACAACGCTTTGGGAATGTTTCCCTTTCCAAATAAATATTTCAGATTACTGAGATTATAGCCAACGTCGTAATATAACCGGACCAAATCAAATTTTCCATCATCAACGGCAAATTCCATTGAGTCGAAAAAATATTCCATTTGTTCTCGCTTACGATAAATATTCCCTTTCATATCAAGTCTTGTATTATAGTATAATAACTGCTTGATGCAAGGGAGGTCACCCTTGGTGGTAGCTAACAAAATGGCTGTAGCTTTAGAAGCAACTGAAATATATAAGATTAAAGCCATATTAAAACTTATTTCATAACATTGAAACATCTACTGTTCCAAACAGACTAAAGAAGATGGACACACACCAGGCAGTGTACTATGAGGGAAATTTTGCAATAACAGCGGCCATACCGCGAAGGAGGATCTTTAACAGCCTGCAAATGTGATACATAATTCATCTGTGGTGTTTGTCCCATCAACTGACTAGTGGAACACTGGAAACCTGCATGGAAAATACTGAGGAACTTCCTGACCGAGACCCAACAGCGGGATATAGAATCAGGGACTCCTGTTTAGTCAGTGGAGGGTTGGGTGGTCTAGTAATGAAATCATAACTCTCTGTCACTGAGTCAAGTAGCGTGGTTTCAATTCTTCGCTGTACGTGACAAGGAGTAGGGTTTGCTCCGGGTTCTTCCCATTGTTAAAGACCCCTACGTGCAAGCAAATCATTGAAATAAAAAACTGAACCATATGTTAGTCCTGAAATGACCTAGTTTGTGATGAGTGGATGTTAAACCCCATCTGTGAATGAACATCATATTCACGGTTTCCTACTGGAGTCCCCTGTAAACCAACAACATTTTTTGAAAGAGTTTATCAATTGCCTTCATACACTTGTGCCCCCGTCAGACCAGGGTGGCGCCATTACTGTGCTGTTGAGAGCGTACGGCGACCAGAATATGTACAAAGTCACCGGCAAATGTGAACACAACACGGGAAAATGTCCCCAAAAATTACAAAACGTCGTGTTCTTACAGCTTTCCAACATACTCAAAACAAACGCTGTGACTAAGCGATCACTGGCGACCATGGAGACCTCGGCGCTAGTGCAATAGCGCCGGAGACCTCAGCACAATATCTGACCCTGCTTTTTCCACGCTTATGGCGATCTTGATGTGCCCTGAGACCATTTTCCGTGCAGTGCAGTTAGGATGCCATCCCGGTCTGACTGGGGTATTACAAAAAATACTTACATGTAATATTAACATTTACTCCATGAGACAAGAAAAGAGCAACGAGAGATTCAGCTTGTCGGGAGACAGCCGTTATTAGTGGATTGCTAACTTCACACAAGCCAAGGTCAAGGTTTGAACCAGCTTGAATCAACATAACTATTATTGTCATTAAATCTGGATTGATGTTACGATAATAAATCGGTCGAACTTTGGAACAGATGGCACTTGTGATAGCAGATCGTCCAGCCCCATCCAGTAAGTTAGGATCAGCACCTGCTTCTAATAACATCTCTACAGCTTTTACATATAAAGTAACAGCAGCCATCTTAAAAACAAAAAAAAATAAAAATATTCTTTAATCCAGAAAATATATTTAATCACGCATGCCTCAAAGAAATGTTAATGAAATGAAATGGGGTTTAACATCCTACTGTGCTGCTGCAAGCCAAAGAATTGTAACAGATCCATAGTGGCTTGGTATATATGATGCTTTCGCACTAACCAAAAGGTCCTGGGTTCAAACCTGGTGTTTGCTGAGAAAGATCCTCAGGATTTGCCAGTCTGGTTTCCCCATTGTCAGTGGTGCAGGACAGAGAGTCTGGCTAGGAAAAAGTATCTTGTCATTCGGATGGGATGAAAAATATGAGATCTTATGTATACCATGTTGAAGATTCCCTGATAGTTTGAGTTACTTGTGGGTTTACTCCAAGTGCTCCGGTTTCCTCCCACAAGAAAGACCCCTGTGCATGTGCTAAGCATAATAAAATAAGACTTGTCTGTGATACCACCATCGGTGAAAAGAAAGAGGAAAATGGCGTTTAACATCCACTCAACACAAACTAGGTCATTTTAGGACTAACATATGGTTTAATTTTTTATTTCAATAATTCACTTGTGCGTAGGGATCTTTAGCAGTGCGAGCAAACCGGAGGACCCTGAGAAAACCCATTCGAGGCCGGACTAGCAACCCTGCTCCTTGTCACGTATAACCAGGGAATCCAAACTATGCTACATGACTCAATGACAGACCTTATGATACAGCGTGCACGTGCTAACAATTTGCCCCCCCCCTTCCCCATAGGTGGAAGTGGACGTTAAACACTAATAGAAAGAAAAACACCATACCTGTTTTACAAATTCTTATGGAATAAGAAACAGTAGAAAGATGGTGATTCAGTCTTTCTATCTTTTTCATGCAAAATTAAATTTCATGGATGATAATGATGCTGTTAAATCATGCTACAAAAATTACAGTTCCATGAATGGTGTTGATGTTTATGATGTTCTTATTTAAATCATGCTGCAAAAATTACAATTCCGTGGATGGTGTTGATGTTGATGATTTTCTTATTTAAATCATGCCGCAAAAATTACAATTCCGTGGATGGTGTTGATGTTGATGATTTTCTTATTTAAATCATGCCGCAAAAATTACAATTCTTTGGATGGTTTTGATGTTTATGATGTTCTTATTTAAATCATGCTGCAAAAATTACAATTCCGTGGATGGTGTTGATGTTGATGATTTCTTGTTTAAATCATGCTGCAAAAATCATTCTAAACCTGAAGAGCTGTTCTCTTGCTTCTCCGTTCTTTGAGATTGACATTGGCACCAGCTTCAATCAATATCTTGATTATACTGGTCAGAGAATCAGGGTCCGATTTAGAATAACAACAAATCATTAGAGGAGTATAACCCTCGATGTTTTGAATGTCTACAAAGGCTCCATGACATAACAGCATTTTAACACAATCGACCAGTCCATTGTCAGCAGCCATATGCAATGCAGATTTACCAAAACTGTCCTGGTCATCCACAATACTTGGATCTCTGTCCAACAACCTTTTCGCAACTTCTAAGAATTGGGTCGTCACACAGTACATTAATGGGGTCTGACCCCATTTGTCATTTATGCCAATGTAGGCTCCGGCATCCAGTAAGAGATTAACCATTTCCACCCGTCCTTTACCACAGCAGACATGTAAAATAGATTTTGTGCTGATATTCATCCGATCTTCGTATGACTCATCAACATCAGCTCCCATCTGGATTAACTCTCGAAATCTCTCCACATCATCATCATCAGCTGCGTGATAGAGTTGACCATGTGTTAACTCCATTTCTATAGTAACCAGATGAGTTCTTTTTTAAAATCTTCACGCTTACATATTGTCCAATATTTCTCTGAAAAGAAAAAAGATTTGTTGATATCTTTAAAGAGAAATGATGTTAAAGGACAACATCATACAGTTCTTTAAATGACATAGAAGTCTGGTTAAATTGGAATTAGGTAAGATTTGATAAAGAACTGACAGTTCTCAATATAATAGTTAAAAAATAGACAATGGAAACAGAAAATGCTGAAATTTCAGTCAAATTGCTTCACTCTTCAATTTTCAGCTAGCCTCAATCATAATTACTAAAGTTAGTTCTATAATAAACAAAGTCTCGATTATCCATTTTTAAGTTAAATTATCCATCACAAAATGTATTCAAATCCACTATATATCACAGGCTAACAATGGCGTCGGGTGTTGATTATGGCCTGGATCAGTTAATTAATGTCTAATATTATAATAATTTAGATAGCATTTCAGACCTGACCTGCAATAGGCAGATTTAGCTCTTGTGTGATGTATGTTTAACTATTCATAACAAAACACAACACAAGGTATATATGGATATAACTACTAATTGGTTATTTAATACCGATGTCGCATACAGATCAGGTTACAAAACGTTATTAAATAACAGAGAAGTGGTTATATATTGTCATACAGATTAGGTCAATGTTGGATTAATTAACATGGGATATTTTATTTCAATATTTTGCTTCAGTACAGGGATTATTAACAGTGGGTGAAACCCCCAGACTGTCGCTTTTGTCCACTAGAAGCAAAAGTTATCATTTGATTAACTTAAATTTATACGCAATGTTTAAATGTGCATGGGATGATGAAGTCTATCGATTTTCAACAATTACTTGCAGAGTTATGGCCTTTGATAATTTCTCGCTGAGTTAGTAGCTCTGTCGGTACAAAAAAATAAATTTCATCTTATTTAAAGTATGGCCCTTGATCAGTGGGTCAGTAAAGTATATCTTGTTAACCAGTTCTCGGCAAAATTTCCGTCATCGCACACTGTATGGCATAAGCCAGTCTTCATTAGCCCAGTAAGTGCAGAAAAGTTGGATATTAAACCCCATTGTGAATGCTCTAATTAATTCATCATATTGATTTGTAATTTATACACATGTTTATGTTCAGGATTCTAATATGATTATCACAGACCTTATGGTCTAAAGTGCAAAGAAATGAAATGAAATGGTGTTTAACGTCCTACTGTTCTGCTCCCAACTGGGCTAATGAAGCCGGGCATACGCCATACAGTGTGCTATGAGGGAAATTTTGCCCGAGCAGCGGCACTATCATCTACTCTTATATCGAATTCCAACTGCCAAGGGATCTTTTACGTGCATTCCAATGTATACACGGGACCTCGGTTTTTCGTCTCATCCGAAGGACTAGACAATTGTCCTTGTGAGGCCCTCCGTCCTGCATCACTGACAAGGGGGAACCACGCCGGAAAATCTGGATGAACTTTCTCGGCCAATACAGGGATCGAACACCCGACCTCCAGGCTAGTGAGCCAGCGTCTGATCCCCTTCTTTGAAAGGCAGGGGACAATAACCATGAGTAACTCTCATATTAATAAATGAAAAAGGATAATATCGTAAATATTCTTTAATCTTTGTAAAATTTACAAGGTAACTTTGAATAGATCACATTTGGTGGAAGACACTTTAAATCGGGTAAGACACTCTAAGTTGGGGCTTTCACTTCAAAATTTTGCCAGGCCTTCAATCTTTTTGAGCAGGTCAATGTCATTGCTGTGTATTAGCTATTACAGATTAATGAAATTGTAAGGAATATGTGTGGACTCCAAAGTATAAGATAATACAATTATTTTCATTAAAAAAAAATTGCCCCTGAATTTCGTCAGAATCCAATTCTATCTCTGGTTTCAAGGTTAAATTCTTTGAAATTCTAATTTCATAGCCTTGTAAATTGTCTGACAGGTAAGTTCTTCACCTGGTCAATTTCACTGCCATTCAGTCAAGACCGGCATATGCAACTAAAACCAGAGCCCTGCTTTAAACATAGTAATAAGCATTCTGGTGTCAATAATATTCAAAAAATGTCTAAGATATGTTTTAACAGTAACATGTCTTTTAATCTCGTCGGTATCGGCAATTTCTTAACCTTTTCACAAGGCATCAGTCCCAAAAACTCTCTGACATTTTTGATGGAAATATCCAACAAGCTACGTGGATTTCTGGAACGTTGAATTAACCATTCATGCATTTCTGAATTGTCCAACAACGCTTTGGGAATGTTTCCCTTTCCAAATAAATATTTCAGATTACTGAGATTATAGCCTACGTCGTAATATAACCGGACCAAATCAAATTTTCCATCATCAACGGCAAATTCCATTGAGTCGAAAAAATATTCCATTTGTTCTCGCTTACGATAAATATTCCCTTTCATATCAAGTCTTGTATTATAGTATAATAACTGCTTGATGCAAGGGAGGTCACCCTTGGTGGTAGCTAACAAAATGGCTGTAGCTTTAGAAGCAACTGAAATATATAAGATTAAAGCCATATTAAAACTTATTTCATAACATTGAAACATCTACTGTTCCAAACAGACTAAAGAAGATGGACACACACCAGGCAGTGTACTATGAGGGAAATTTTGCACTAACAGCGGCCATACCGCGAAGGAGGATCTTTAACAGCCTGCAAATGTGATACATAATTCATCTGTGGTGTTTGTCCCATCAACTGACTAGTGGAACACTGGAAACCTGCATGGAAAATACTGAGGAACTTCCTGACCGAGACCCAACAGCGGGATATAGAATCAGGGACTCCTGTTTAGTCAGTGGAGGGTTGGGTGGTCTAGTAATGAAATCATAACTCTCTGTCACTGAGTCAAGTAGCGTGGTTTAAATTATTCGCTGTACGTGACAAGGAGTAGGGTTTGCTCCGGGTTCTTCCCATTTTTAAAGACCCCTACGTGCAAGCAAATCATTGAAATAAAAATTTGAACCATATGTTAGTCCTGAAATGACCTAGTTTGTGATGAGTGGATGTTAAACCCCATCTGTGAATGAACATCATATTCACGGTTTCCTACTGGAGTCCGCTGTAAACCAACTACATTTTTTGAAAGAGTTTATCAATTGCCTTCATACACTTATAGGGTGGCATCCTTACTGCGCTGTTGCGAGCGTACGGCGACCAGAATATGCACAAGGTCACCGGCAAACGTGATCACAATGCAGGAAAATGTCCCCAAAAATTACAAAAAGTCACGTTCTTACAGCTTTCCAAGTCAGATTGCAGAACCCTGGCGTCTGTTCTGAACATACTCAAAACAAACGCTGTGACTAAGCAATCACTGGCGACCATGGAGACCTCAGCACAATATCTGACGTTTCCACCCTGCTTTTGCCACACTTATGGCGATCTTGATGTGCTTTGAGACAATTCTCCATTGCTGTAGCAGCGCAGTTAGGACACCATCCCGGTCTGACTGGGGTATTACAAAAAATACTTACATGTAATATTAACATTTACTCCATGAGACAAGAAAAGTGCCACAAGAGATTCAGCCTGTCGGGAGACAGCCGTTATTAGCGGATTGCTAACTTCACACAATCCAATTTCAAGATTTGAACCGGCTTGGATCAACATAATTATTATTGTCATCAAATCTGGATTGATGTTACGTGAATAATTCGGTCGAACTTTGGAACAGATGGCACTCGTGATAGCAGATCGTCCAGCCCCATCCAGTAAGTTAGGATCAGCACCTGCTTCTAATAACATCTCTACAGCTTTTACATATAAAGTAACAGCAGCCATCTTAAACACAAAAAAATTAAAAATATTCTTTAATCCAGAAAATATATTTAATAAGGTATGCCTCAAAGAAATGTTAATGAAATGAAATGGGGTTTAACATCCTACTGTGCTGCTCCAAGCCAAAGAATTGTTACAGATCCATAGTGGCTTGGTATATATGATGCTTTCGCACTAACCAAAAGGTCCTGGGTTCAAACCTGGTGTTTGCTGAGAAAGATCCTCAGGATTTGCCAGTCTGGTTTCCCCATTGTCAGTGGTGCAGGACAGAGAGTCTGGCTAGGAAAAAGTATCTTGTCATTCGGATGGGATGAAAAATATGAGGTCTTATGTATACCATGTTGAAGATTCCCTGATCGACACCATGCCAGTTGACTCAATGACAGACCTTATGATACAGCATGCGCATGCTAAACATTCGGCCACCCCTCCCCCACCCCAGTCGGTGGAAGTGGATATTAAACACTAATAGAAGACGAAGGACACCATACCTGTTTTACACATTCTTATGGAATAAGAAACACTAGAAAAAGATGGTGATTCAGACTTTCTATCTTTTTCATGCAAAATTACATTTCATGGATGATAATGATGCTGTTAAATCATGCTGCAAATTTACAATTTCGTGGATGATGTTGATTTTTTAAATCATGCTGCAAAAATTACAATTCTGTGGATGGTAGTGATGTTGATGATGTTCTTAGTTAAACCATGCTGCAAAAATTACAATTCTGTGAATGGTGTTGATGTTGATAACATTCTTATTTAAATCATGCTTCAAAAATTACAGTTCTGTGGATGGTGTTGATGTTGATGATTTCTTGTTTAAATCATGCTGCAAAAAATCATTTTAAACCTGAAGAGCTGTTCTCTTGCTTCTCCGTTCTTTGAGATCGACATTGGCACCAGCTTCAATCAATATCTTGATTATACTGGTCAGAGAATCAGGGTCCGATTTAGAATAACAACAAATCATTAGGGGAGTATAACCCTCGATGTTTTGAATGTCTACAAACGCACCATGCGATACAAGCATTTTAACACAATTGACCAGTCCATTATCAGCAGCTATATGCAATGCAGTTTTGCCGAAACTGTCTTGATCATCCACAATAGTTGGATCTCTGTCCAACAAAGTTTCTGCAACATCTAATACTTGGGTCATTACACAGTACATTAAAGGGGTCTGACCCCAATTGTCACTTATGCCAATGTAGGCTCCAGCATCCAGTAGAAGATTAACCATTTCCAC